ACATTCCAGGATGCTGTCTTTTGGTTGCACGTCTTTTCGGTTGCCAAAAATCTCACCATAAAATAACTACCTGGGTAACATGCGTTTTTTTCTCATGGATCTTCGGTACCCTTTCAATGACAAATATATTTTATAGACACTGTAAACCAAAATATTCTTTCTCGTACTAATTTCGTAGTAAATCACGTCTTCTTCCAATCATATATGCAAGGCGAAAGTATGTTGCGAATTTTTTTTAAACTGCTTACAATTCCTGAATAAGCTTGATTTCGGTCTGCTCCTGCACTTATTTTTAGGGCTTCCCTTTACAAGATCTATGTATCCCGTGTAAGAAATAGCCTACATTCTTCTATGTTCTTAAAACTGCGCACTGACTGTGAACTAGGTTAGGTACTTCCTGAGGAGCATTAATAAACGAACAGATACGATCCGATGTGAAGGGACATTGCGCGATCCTAAAAATCTTATAATTCGAACCTATTTTTAAAACTTCGGAAGATAAATTGGCGAACATACGTTTGTTTTCGATAAGTTCTCGTCAGGCCAATTTATCTTCTGAAATTTTCGATGGAAATTTTCGAAATATTTTTAAAACTGAAGAATAGTATTTTTTGGAGTGTAACCTTAAGAGATTGCTTGATCCGCTATCCAAAGCGTACATGAAAGGATACTTTAGAGCATGGTTTTAATAAACTATATTTGAATTAGGAAGGGCATCGAAAATCCATAGAAAAGATTCATGCCCTGTAAGTAGTCATTTTTCACAGAAAAAGGCATACATTTAAAAGCCGACATTCCGAAGTATCTAACATATCTGACATACGAAAGCATAAGGTTACTTAACCAATTTGTGCGACCCAAAGTAGGATTCCACCCACGTTGCATCATTTTGGTTGACATTTCATGAGATCCGTCAGTGACTTTATGAGGGAGTTTCCATATACTGAATAGCGCGACATGTAGGCTAGCTACTTGGTTAAAAGGTGGAGTGTTGTGTACGTCTAAGTGCACCTGTTCAAATTATTCACATAAAATGCAAAGAGAACAGAATATTCCGACAATATTCTTACCAGTCTCCTCCCTACCCTGCCCACTGCAATGGGTAAGTTCTGGTGTTAGCGCGGTAGCTGCAGCGGCGCGGGCTGAGTGTATTCACATTAATTAGCCATTCGCCGCTCTGAAATCCAGAGCCACAGGCTAAAAATGGCGGAAAGCATCTACCTGCATGCGGAAAAAAACTAACGCCTCTGGTAAATCAACAATCAACGGTTGGCCGGGAATGCATAAAGCGCGGGCTTGTACACGTGGCAAGCAGGAAAGGTTACTTGGCTACGCAGTCTTAAAGTATCTAAGGCAGACATTTCGAATGCCATAAAAGCCGTTTTTTAACTACACTGGGAGCAGTATTGATGGAAAAGCATCAACCGAAAAGAGGGTATGTGGATAGAAATCAGAAGAGGCAGAAAAGGTTTGCTCAGGTTGCAGACAGCACCTACGGCTATTGTGAAGATCTTACAGTAGGTCAGTTAACACAGAACGTCCTAACAGACTGTGTGAACGAAAAACTAACAAATGAACATGCCGGCAGCATACCTTCTCAATGTTCATAGTGTCGTGCGAATTAAAAGGTCAAAATATGAATAAAAGAGGAAAGGCTGCAGTGGCCGGTTTCTGTAGAATGGTCATTCATAAAGTGAAGATGCGATCGCTGGAATAAGATGTTTATTGGCCTAACGTTTCAAATTCTCGCTTGAAGCCATCATCAGAGACAGCCGCGGAAAGGGATGGTAGACGGACAGGCTACGCAGTATTCATAGTCCGTAGTGACCACGTGATTACATTTGAA